TTGTCACATATATTTCATGTTTTCTTAATATCAGATTTGAAGAAAACTGGTAAAGACTAGTGTTTGAATTTACCAATGTGTTCCAAGATAAAGTATGTATATATATATTGTTTGTTCAGTTTCCAATAATAGACACATATTACTCAAATAGATGTTTCAGAGATAAAAGTGGCAGATACCAGAAGTGTTTGAGATATAAAGTTCTCATGGTGGTCATATGGGGTGTGATGCCAAGATAGTCTTGCAGGTAGAAACCAAAAGTTGATAACCACCTACAAGACTACAGCGTCTCAACCCAGAATACCACGGTTATCAACAACAATTTTATTTTTAATTGCTTGTTCCATAAAACATAAAAAAACTTATTAAGTTGTACAATTAACTACTGAAACACATACTCAGAATACAGTGACCAAATCAGAAATGGGACAAAATTTCATAAAATATTGACAGTTCTATTCAACAGTATGAAAAAAAGGAAAAGTATATCAAATACGAAAGTTAGAAACTAATCATTTAAAAGTGTTTCTCTCCAGTGTTTGAAAGCAGCTGATGTTTTATAATGGAACCTGGTATAAATATCGTGTTACTAGAGGCAACCCTTCATGTTTAATTCCGTATCTTCTGTTGTAGTAAGATGTTGCCTGGACATACATCTAAAGTGGGAGTGACATCAGCACAAGTTAATGTGAGGTCTATAAATTTTGTGTTGTAGTAAATCTTGAGAAACTTTGCAGCAATGGCCAATTTTTTTTGTGGAGTCCAAAGCAAGAAAGTAATATCTGTGCAAAATCTATATTTAGTTTTTGGTTTGATGATCATAACTAATGAATCCATGTGAAATTTTGCAGATTACAAATTCTGTATGAAATATTTGTATGTCAACAGTTACAAACATAGTAACGTTGTACATCATCAGGATGAAGCATGAAGTTATGGTGCTGTCATTACTGTTTCTTTATTTTCACAGAGTTGACAAGGAGGATGAGATGAGCTGCCTCATCAAAGGTTGCA